TCCCCTTTCTTGACTCTCTTTATCTATAAAAAATCCTCTCTCCGCTTTGTTTCACTCTCCCTTTCTATCTCCCCTTTTTCTTCGTTCCATCTATACCATTTGTTTAGTATTTTTATCTTTCTATATCCCACCTTCGCCTCTCTCCCCTCATTTATTTCCTCTCTTGCTTTTTCTCTTAACAATTTTTGAACTCTTCTTTCTTCTTGCGTCATATCATGGTCAATGTATATCCTTTTCCCACGTAGTTTGCCCTTTTTCTTCATCACTTCCTGCTTTGCCTCCCAGTTTTCCATTTCTACGATCGATACTTTCGCTATCTCCCCTCCTCCTATGATTTCTATGCCCACTATTCCTTCCTTCACCCCAAATTCTTCCATCAAAAATTGTCTGGTTTTTTCCTTCGCCTCCCTTTTAGGTACTTCTAACCCTCTAATAACAATCTTGTTTTTCTTCTCTCTCCTCTCTCTTTCCTCCAGCTTCCTGTGTATTCTCTTCACTTCATTCCATGCCTCTTTTGATCTTTCCATTTCCTTTTCCTCTTTTCTTTTATCTCTTTCATTTATCTTCTCCTCTATTTTTTCCATAACTTCCTCCACCACTTCCTCTTTCTCCTCTTTTCTCCTGTGTCTTTCCTTATTCTGCACCTCCTTCATCTGTTCCAGCATCTCCTCTATTTTCTTTCCCATCTCTTCTTCCTTTTTCTTCCATCTCTCCTCCATAGCTTCAATTCTTCTTGCCAACCCCTTCATTTCCTTTCTTACTTCTTTCTCTAATAACTCCCTGCCCTGTACTATCTCTATCTTTAAACTTTCCACTATTCTACCTACAATATCTTGACTCATATCCAACTGTTCCTCTGTCTCTTGTTCCTTCTTCTTCTCCCTATTCTGCGGTGTTGACTTTTGATCTTTCTTCTTCATTGTTCTCTCCTCCGAATCTGTGGAACTCTCTACCTCCTCTTCCTCTGAGTCATTTTTCCACATTTCCGTTATTTTTCTATTTTCTAGCCGCTCTCTGTCTCTACTCTCCTCCTGCGTCGGTCTTCCCCTCTTCCTTTTCTCCGCCCGTGGTGTATCTTCTAATTTCGTTTCTTTATCTTTATTCTCTATCTTTCCACTCATCATCGCTGCCGAAATTTGACTTCTACTTAGTTCTTACACTAATACGCTGTTGCGCTATCCTAACCTAACCTCCTTCCCTTTTTCCTATTCTAAATTATTCTAACACTTATCCCTACTAAACTAATTCTACTCTATGCTATCATATACCGTTCACACTGTCTTTTCTCCCCGATTTATTCTATTATCCACTTCTTTC